GGGAGCGCCGAGCGAGCGCGTCCGAGGGGCGCGGAGAATGCGGACCGGGTCGACACGAGCGAGACCCGTCGCAGATGTTGGATTTTTGCTTGGAAAAACGTGTGGGTACGACCTCGGTAAGGAGCCTAGATTTTGATTTTGATTTTTAAAAAATTTCATCTGAAAACTTTTTTTCTTTCCTTTTCCTCTTTTTTTTTTTCCTTCGATGTAGTGACAGTGGAAACAAGAAATGCTTCTACTTTTTTTGCTTTTAGTACTGTCCAACATTTTAAGACTTCCTTGTGAATCATTAACCCTTTAAATTCTAGAATTGTCAGTACATTGAAATTTCAGTCGTGATTCCTGCCCACTCTCAACCCCTTGACAAACAAAGTAACTATTCCGGGTTAATTTAAGTTTTCAATTGCAGTTTATTTCAGCATTATTTGGGCATCATGACTGTACATGTTGGAAATAAATAAAAACCAACTAGTTTAAATCTTTACTACCATAAAGAAAATTTCGAATCCAGCTTTAAAAAAAAAAACAAAAACCAAAAAGCATATTTGAAAAAAATGGAAGAAAATCAAAACTTCCTTGAAAGAATCCCAGTCTGTTTACATTCTAACAAGCACACTTTCTTGTATGGAAATGGTACCCTTATTTCTCTTCTGTCAAGCCTGTCTCATGTGGGAATACGTTGCAGAAATGTTTACCCTTTTCTCTTGGAAAGCACCTTTCCTGAATGTGAGGGTGGGTTTTTCAGGAATACCCTCAGTTCAGTGGAAGCTGGCTTGTTCTCCTGAGTCCTCTATATTTGTTATAACTTTAGTTACAGTAAACTGTAGCACATCAGTGACTTCTGGGAATCTGTACACTTTCAGATTTAAATGGAAAGTGCTATTTGTAGCTGAGGGCTCCTAAAGGAATTCTCTTTAGGGATTTCTATTGAGTGAGTGGTTTTATGTTTTGTTTTTGCTTTTTCAACTTGGCGTGCAGTGCCCCTAGGACCAAACTGCGGGGTGTTTCCCCCATTCCCCATTTTTCTTCTTTTTCCCTGTGGTCTAAAAGATCTCAGAAAGGCTGCAGCTCAGTGATGCTAGCAGGATGCATCCCTTTTTGATCTTGCCTGCCAGAGGATGAAACAGCGCACCCGGGATGGAGAGGCAGTTGTTTTGAAAGTTGTTCAGCGTTGGGAGTTGGTGGGAAAGTTCAGTCTTCCCCATTTGGAAAAGGCAGGCAGGGTTCCGCTCCTGCACCACACGCGCTTTCCATTTTTAGCTTCATTCAGAGGCAGACAGAGCTCCTTCCTCTTCCTCTCCTTGTTTGTGACACTTTTCTGAGGCAGCTTTTCCACAGCGCTGAGGGTCTGGCGGCCATGACCCCAGGCGTTCTGGGACACAGGACATCGCCCACAACATTTTTCTGCCCTGAGAGGTAAAGCCAGGGATAGTTCAAAGGTGTTTCTACGTCATTTTTCTAACAGTGAGACTGCCACACTTTAAAAAAAACAAAAACAAAAAACTAAGAGCAGCATTTTAAAACTAGATAAAGGCAATCTACTTTATATGTCTTTTTGGCTCTTACTCAACTGTACCCAGCACTCCTCATCTGCTTTTCAAGTCTTCAGACTACTGTATTAGTCATAGCCTCCTGGAGTGAGCCACAGGAATGGCAGAACAATGGGGATTAAAGGCCTTTCCCTTCTCTTCCAGGCTGCCCCCAAGTGTAGCTCCAGCTCTGTGAAGATTCAAGCGTTGGCAGAGGGGACTGAGGAGACCATGAAAATGGACATGGAGGATGCGGATATGACTCTGTGGACAGAGGCCGAGTTTGAAGAGAAATGTACATACATCGTGAATGACCACCCCTGGGACTCTGGTGCCGATGGAGCGACTTCAGTTCAGGCCGAAGCATCCTTACCAAGGAATCTGCTTTTCAAATGTGCCACCAACAGCAAAGAGGTAAGCCTCTGGTTACTGAATAAAGAAGGTGGCACCTGGTGCCATATCTCCCTACTTGCCCTGAAGGCCTTGTACACAACCTCTAAGAACTATGAGAATCTATAAATATCATTGAATACTTGATCACCCTCTTCAGTTCTTTCCTGGCTTTCTCTTTCCCTAAGTCAATTCCTTCTCATTTCCTCCAGCCTTCAAACTGTCCCATGCTAATTAGTAAACAGTTAAATCTTTCGGCAAACTGACATGCCTTGGAAAAGCTGGCTTGTTGGGTGGGCCACGTTTTCAGTGAGGGAGCCTTGGGAAAACATTGCATGTCCTGGTCCTCCATTATACAATCTTTCAAGGGAGGCAACTTTCTTAGAAAAAAAAAATTAATGTTTCTTTTGTTTCCCTTTGGTCATTAGATGGCTTTATTCTTTTTAACGAGCCAGCTTTATTAGCTGGGTTCTAAAATTATTCTCAAAACCTTGACGTGTTTATGAACTGAAGTGATGGCATAAATCGAGAAAAGGATCATGTAAAAGTGTCCTCTGTCCGGATGACTTCACTAACCACTGTTTATCTGTGGCAGCTCCTTTTTGCTCTGGCTGGGCTGGCACGCCGATTCCTTATTGGCCTCTGAAGTGGGCACACTCTTTGTTGTTTCAAAGGGGCTGAAAACCTAAACTTGAAATGAGCAGCTGATTTGTGTTTACCCTTTTATATAACCATTATAGCTAGGCGTGATGTTTAGCTGTGAAATAACTGGCAGAACCACCTCTTGTTTTGAGAATTTGGCTACTGAAGTTGCTCTCTCCAGTTACTGCTGGCCTAGGTTGAAGCAATCTACCCCTCAGCAACCTCCCACCGTTGCTGTCAACTCTGTGCTTTCAGAAAGTAGTAGAAAGGGGATTATTTGTTCTAAAAGTCCAGGATTTGCCAGTGGGGCTATTCTTTACAGCCCTGTCCAGTCACTTTCCCCCTTTCCCTAAGGACAAGCATTTGAAGGAATCCGGGAGCCTGTTTGGGAAACACTTTGTCTCTTTCCTGTTTGTGTGTCTGAGTTCAATGTTTTTGATGAGGGGGTAGACACAGCTGTCTAAAATTAAATAGAGCGATTCTGCTTTGTGCTTTATTAAAGTTCAACTATGTTTTTCCTCTGCTGGGAGAGGAAAAATTTATAAAATGTTGTAAAAAGATTTCATACAAAGGAAGATTTAAATTGTATTTGTACATGAATGTTACCAAAAATCTAACCCCAGAGGTCAACCTTAATTATACCTCTTCCTGAGAGTAATGCTCTTCTCATAGAAAGTCTCTTTAAAATGTGGCTCTCAGTATCAATGTAGCATTTGTTTGGATGCTTAAGCTTTGGTTGTGGCTTTGAAAGGTGTAGTGTTTTTTTTTCCCCCATATCAGATTTGACCAAATATTGGTTTATTCCCAAGGTTCATTTGTGTTAGTTTGTCCTTACCAGCCCACTGGGACTTAAATAAAGATCTCCATTCTATGGGTCATCTCCGGCTTGTTATCATAATGTTCTTTTCCTCAGTTTAGCTCTTAGCTGATGTTTTTCAATTTTCTTCGTTCTACTGAAAAATCATGGCTGAGTCGTTATGCTTTTAGATCATTCAGTCCAAGGTTCAGAGAGATAGTCACTTACCCAGAGGCTATAGTTAGAGCCAGAAGCAGGAGGACTTGGAACAAAGTTCTCCTGACTTCTCCAGCAAGTGCTTCTGGATAATGTTACACCGGCCCCTCTTGGTGTCACTGTGGTTTTATTTATCAGCCTTAACGTTTCAGACTGATCCTTTATTAAGCTTGTTTGGTTCCCCCCCCCCCGCCTTTGAATGTATAACTTTGTAATGCAATACAGTAAGCAACCAAGATGCTTCAAAACTAATATAGAAGACCAGGATTCTTTGATCCTAGTCCCTGTACTTTATTTACCGGAAACTCTTGAATAGAGGATGCTGCTTCTTCAGTCAATAATCACAAAAGCAACCAGAAAACAAACTTGAATGTCTGGCAGTTTGAGCTTACTCTGGAATTTGTTCCTGTTTTTCCTTTCTTTTTGAGCTTTGGGAAAGGACAGCTCCCTTTTGGTGGTGCAAGAGGGTGATAGAATTGAACCATTAATGACATGATAGCTACAAAACAGTTCCAGGACAGAAACATTTCTGGATTGATGAAATGTTTACATTAGTATTCTTCGCTTAGTTCTTTTAAGTCCCATATAGAGGGAAAGCCTTTCAACATATAGGTTTTACTTGGCTGATGTATCTTATCCTTTTAAAAATGTTTTCATTTAAATAGCAGAAGATGTGATATTATGTATTGTTGTGCTGACATACTGGGGATTTTTTTTAACAAGATCATTTTTCGTTATGAATTTATGCTATGTGTCAGCACCTTTTTTTCCCCTAGTTTAAAAACAAAACATACAAACCATATTTCTGATCTTGACCTTCATTTTGAGATTTGGTTTAGAATCGTTTTGCACCTTTATTGAGGCTGTTCTTACTTCCTATTTCCAGAATGTAGAACCAAATATAGACATCTTATTCAAAACTTCTAAAACTTTTAAAACTGATGGGTTATTCTTTTGAGGGGATTTTCCCCCATCCTCCTAAAATAATAATCTATGAATACTTGTCTACAGAAAAATCAACTTGAAAATTTATATTTTAGAAGCAGCAGCCTGAACAAGTTTCTCCCCTCAGCCCAAGTTGCTGCTCTCCTGAGGCACTGTGGCTCCTCTGTGAGTGACCTAAAGTTGAGGCCGATAAACATCAGACAGATCAGTGTCCATTCTAACTGAAGTCCATTATTAACTCCAGCCACCTGTAAAAAGTATCTCGAGCCGTAACATGCAATTCCCTCTTCAAACTCTTTTATTTGGGAGATCATGTAACACTGACGCATTACCGTGTTTCCTTCAGAATGAAGATAATAAATAAGGAAACCTTTCCATAATATCTGTTCTGTTCACTCCTTTTAAAGTCGGTATGTGTGTGACTGGGGATCAAACCCAGGACTTTAAGCACGTTAGGTGCAGTGCTTTTCCTCTAAGCTATCTCCCAGCCCACTCCACTTCTTTTTAAAGTGGGGTGAATTAGAGGCTGAAGTTTTGGTCCATTGTCGAGTTTTAGTCCTCTCAATACACATACCTTATAGTCAAAATAGAATTTAATCAAATGAGTCATTTTTGTGGAATGGGGATTCAGGGAGGTACCAGGGATCAAACTCGTGACTTTATGCCTGTGACGCAGGCAGTGGAACCACTGAGCTAAATCCCCTGCCCTATAAATGGTTTTAATGTAATTTGAGGTGAAGATGTCATTTAGACGTGAATAATGCTTCTGCTTAAAATCCACTGCTCTGTGTCTGCAACCCTGTAAAGAAGCGACTTGCTTTTTAAAACAAAAAACTGTTGTCCTTACTGTCAACCTGTCATCCAGCATATCTGTCACCTATCTTGAACTGCAGAATCTCCTTTGCTTTGTAAAATGAAAAAGAAACCTTGATTTTTGTCTGAAGGTTGCACACATCCGAGTGTACTCTACAGTCAGGCCCCTGGCAGAGACAGATGCGTCCGGGTGCCAGGGGGCGCTGCTCAGCACGTAAAGTCACATATGAAGGCCCCTGTGGGGGCCGATTCATTTCATCTCCTGATAGGTTTATAGAAGCCACACAGCAGTCTGTCCTCAACAGTAATTCTTTAGGACCCTGGTCAGTTCCACGGAAGTTCCTTCCTGAGTAAGGTGAACACATTCTTCATCAGCCTTTTTAGCCCTGTGAAATCCTAGGCTCCACCAGGTTTCATTGTAATGTTTGCTTGCTCCAAGGAAAGAATGTAGAGGGATGAGTCAGGGAGGTGAGGATGGCTAAAATACACATTTAGGTCTTTCAGAGGGACAACTGTGACCCGTTTTAACTTAGGTTCCTGTTCCTGTCCCTGTTCCTTGTCCTTACATGGGCAAGCACGATAAAAGTTGTAGTTTTTATGTCCTCTTTGAGTAATATCTCGGACATGGATTTAAGAAAACGTTTATTGTGTATTTATTAAGTGTTGGACTTGGAATGTATATAGGAGGGTCATAAGCTACGGGAGGGCTCAAAATTTTAGGATTTAGGGCTCTATTTATCTCTAGATGTTAGTTCATACTCTACAGCACTGTATATAATAGGAATTTGGGGTTCTCGTTCATGCCACAGTCAAACTCAACTCTTTTTCCCTGGGAGTGACTAATGCACAGTTGTGTTTAGCCGGCAGTAGATGGTCTGTGCCTTCTCTACCACATTCCCTTGTTATAGAAACAGGATTCTAGTTGACTGCTTTTGACCACAAGGAAATGTGTGCTTTCTTAGTATAAAAATTGGTGACCAGAAACCAAGAGAGAGGACCATTCTATAGAAGAATGGCAATTGGAAGAAAGACCGTGACTTCAGTGTAATGTTCTTTGTTGGTAATCAAGCTCTGGCTCCCGAGACACTGTCTGCAGGAGACTGTAATTTGAAACAGAAGTTGATGGACCAGTTGAGTACCTTTCTTAAAATTACTGCTTTAAGGTGGATATGTTGAAAATATCAGCTGCTAATTATTGGCTCACCAACAAATGGCATTATTTGTTTTTCCTGTCTGTCATTTTAGTATTATGGGATATTAAATGTGAATGCTTACTGGTTTTGTATCATAGATGTCAATTCCATGAATTTTTCCAAATTAGGTTCATTAATACATCCAAAGCAAAGAGCCTATAAATAAGTCTGTTTTAAGATTTAGATATTTCATCTCAAGATTTCTCTGAGATGCTCCTGTTCTCAGTAGTAGCACTGTTAAAAAGTTCCAATAATAAACTCTTCTAGAAAGGGCAGATAGATGTAAATGAAGGCATAGGAAGAGAAGGAAATGAACATCTGCTTTTTTCAGCTCTTTGCCAGAAATTCAAAAAGGACCAAAAATAACACTAGCTCACCAACCTTGTTTCAACTTGTATTAGGTATAGGAAATTTTCTTTCTTCTGTTTCTCTTTCCAGTCTTGCGTTGCTCCATTGACTAGTATATTGAATACTGAATTATTTCTGAAAAAAAATAATTTGCTGATAAGAAACTTACATGAGAAAGACTGGTCTTTCACAACCACGTAGGTGTGCATTATTCCATATCTATTTAAATAGCAGTTAAATTCCTGATGAGACGCATTTCAGTACCCATATACTTTGTATCATAACCAGTCTTAAATTCCACTGTGAGCCACCTGAACATTTGTTGATTCACAGATTTGTACCTGCTATTTTAGGTATACATTTACGCAAGAGCCACCAGGGAAAGTAAAAACTGGAAATAAACACTACCTTTTAGCTCACCCCTATACTTTGGTATTCCATTTTAGTGAGGTGTAGGTATTCAGTAAGCAATATGTAGACTGTTTGAGCCAGAAGGAAACAAAATAAGAAAGTGAGAGAATAAAAAAACTGTAATTGCAAAATGTTGTAAAGGACTACTCACAGAGTTCTTTTGAATAATGATGAATTACTTCCTGATTCATGATTGGTCATTTTTTTTAAGTTCCTCAAGAGAAATTTACAATCAAGGAGGAACTGACATAGTTAACATGCTTCTTTAGCAAGGCCCTACAAAATCTGATACAGTCTGAGGAAGTCATTTCCTCGGATCTCAGAACCCACAGCTCTTAGAACCCCCAACTTGCCTCAGTATAAATTCCTTTCAAAGGAGGGCTTTGACCACAGCTGAGTAGAAGATGGTACAGATCATAGTTACTTGAAAGGGTCTTCTCCTATTAAAAAAAACTTACAAGCTGTTTGGGAGTTGGGGGGACCTCAGCTGAAATGGAAAAACAAGTGTTTGATATCTGGTTCCCTCAGTCTTTGTGGAACAACTAAAGAGCCTTATTTTGGTTTCTGAGGTTAAAACCATTTTATTCCCCTCAAGCACACTATGTTTATGATTTGAGGGAGAATGAAAAATAGGAAATTTAAGAGCTGGACTGAAATGGTCTAATCTTAACCATCTAATTCTGCAGTGTCTTCAAAACAGAATAGATAACCTTTCTGATTTTCTAGAAGGAAAATAATGAAAGTAAAGAATCCTCAGTCATAATTCTCTAGACTATTTTAATGCTTGATTGAATATTTGCTCCTCATGATCTTAGACTTTCAGATACTGTTCCCCAAAGGTGAAGTTTGCTGTTAATTATGTGTGTACCTTACTGTCAGCTGCACAGTGTTGATTGTATTATCAGTTGAGGATTCAATTCGTTGAAATAACATTGGTTCACATTTTACAGTAAAGTAATTGTTTGATGTGTTTTACCCATTTTAGGTAATTGGAGTGGTGAGTAAAGAATACATACCAAAAGGGACACGATTTGGACCCCTAATAGGTGAAATCTATACCAGCGATACAGTTCCCAAGAATGCCAACAGGAAATATTTTTGGCGGGTAAGTCAGGAAATTTTTTCAAGACCTTCAGTATTAAGAAACACTGGGGCTAGAAGAACAGGGTCATTTTCTTTTTCAGCCTGTGCTGAGAAACACTAGGGTTCACCTACAAGTATTAAGGATCCCCATGGAAACAGGGAATTCTGAGCAGGGGTAATGAAACTGGTTGAATGTTCATCCCTGGAAATACAGCCTGTAGGTGGTTAGTGAAAAGAGATATGGACAATATGTGAGTCTTATTTTTTTTTTTTTTGCAACTCATTAGAGCTTTGTAAAGAAAGGAAACAGTTTGTTACTTGCTTCAAGGGCAGGTTCATTTGCATTTCTCTGCAAGGAAGTAGTAATGAGTCACTAAGCCTTAGATTTCACCCCTTCTTGATTTCTTGCTGAGTTAACCTTAACTGAATGGAAGAGTTATCACAAATGAATTATCTTGAAAAGGAATGTCATTAAGGAAAAAGGACTGGAAGATGGGTTGGGGAATTGAGAAGGACCACAGACCTGGTCTTACTTAAATCCATTTGTACCATAAAACTTGAACTTGACAGTATGCAAGTTACTCCCATACTATAAGGGAAAAATGGTTACCTACATTCAAGATGAGAAGCTTTTCTATAGCATCCAGCCAAAAGATCTGACCTAAATGATTTCCTTTAGAATATCAGGCTTACGGAGGACCAAACCCATATCCCTGAAAGTATAAGGGAAATGGTTACCTACATTCAAGATGAGAAGCTTTTCTATAGCATCCAGCCAAAAAATCTGACCTAAATGATTTCCTTTAGAATATCAGGCTTACGGAGGACCAAACCCATATCCCTGAAGCAGGTGTGATTGTACACCAGAGATCCCACTTACTCAGGAGGCTGAGACAAGAAGCTCCAAAGTTTGAGGCCAGCCTGGGCAGTGTGGTATTTTTGACCCTATCTTAAAATGAAAAAATAATTTTTTAAAAAGGAATAAGGATGTAGTTCAGTGGTAGAGTGCTTTCCTGAACATATATGTGAGGTTCTGGATACTAAAAAAGAAGGGAGGGAAGGATCTCACTGGTGAACTAATGAGATAGAATTCCTGAAAAAAAAAAAAAAAAAAAAAAAAAAAAAAAGTGAACAGAGAAAAGTTAAACTGCGTGCCTCTTCTTATAGATATCTCTGGGATATTTAGTTTCCTCAATTAGAAAAGAGATGCTCACTTAAATTTAGTAGGAAGTTTTTATATGTACTTACATAAAATGTCCATGGCTGCATGGTAACAGCCAAAATTGGATTGTGCTTGCTTTGGCTGGAATTTTTGCCTAAAAACCTTGATAACTTTTAGACAGATATAAAAGACTTCTGTGAAAGGGGATTATTCTGAAGCTATTGCTATGAATTTTTTTTAATCCAGGAAATTTGGTGTTGGTAGAAATTTAGTTTCCTAAATCTCAAGCTAAAGAGAACAGTTACAGATTCACTACAGTGTGCTCTCAATGTAGTCAATAACATTCACAATTACGTATGCTTAAAATACATCCACTCCTTGGCTTATAATGGAAAAGTAGGAGTGTATTTTTACCTTTATTGCCAATAAATGCTTCTCATATGTGAGCCACACAAGTGTAGTAATGTAGGAGTCAAAGGTCTGAATTAAGACAATCCAGCGTAAGTCTCATGAATATGTGGTCATTTTGAAAAGAGATAAGCAACTAAGACTCTCTCATCACTGTCCCAGTTCCTTGTTGCATTTAATGATTCACCATAAGTAACTGAAAGGCTTTCCTGGAGAGGATTTTATTCAAGTCAATCATCCTTCACATGCAAAAGCCATTGTAATAGATAATTTCTCACATGTTATTAAAAGAATCCTGATTTTGCTGGCAGGAATGTGAACATCTGTTGTGAGGAAAGAAAGTCTCATGAAATTACACAGTCAAAGAGAAAGGATGCTCAAGTTGAGAAACCAGTGACATTTCTTGTAACTGTACTATGAGTAAGCACATTTTAATCTTCTTGATAATAGATGGAAACGTGGTGAAGTGATAGGCAGCAGCATTCATTTTACGCATGCATTGTTTTATTTTCTTGTGGGTGTGTGTGTGTGTGTGTGTGTGTGTGACTTCATGGCATCAGAGGTTCTGTTTTTAAGTGAGGATACAGTAAACTGTAGTCCGTGGAAGGCTGACTGGAATCAACATACCCATAGCTTTAGAAAGCAGTTTCCGCCCCTACGAAGAGTAGAAGAATGATGGAACCCCATGTTCCTGGAAGTTTGCACATCAGAGTAAACAAACTTGAAAACCCCTCTTGATAGCCGAATTCACCCAGCCTTGTTCCATTTTCTCTTAACAAAACACACCGCAAAAGCTCTCACAAGCTGCTTTGATGAAGCCACATGTATTTCCCCCTTCACAATTTACAGGAAGTTACTCTTAAAAGAAAGTGATTCTGGTGTTTACTGCCTGTGTTAAAGGGACAGAGTTCCTTTTTATTTCTGATAACATTTGAGTGAAATACAGAAAGATTTGTAGAATAATACAAGACAGTGAGTGACTAAGTAAAGCAGTAATAACCTGCTACCCTGATGGAGCAAAATCTCTGTGAACAAGTGCCTTGACCTACACTTCAGGAGACCAGGTACTAATTAGGTATGTATAAGGGAAGAGCTTTTGTCTGAAGAAAAGGTGTTGTACCTCTTAGTAGGGAGGAGAGAAGGAACTTTCTGTGGAAAAATAAGAAGTGTGCTTATCACATAGCTTGAGAGTGTGTGTTTTAATTGATTCCTCCTCTGACCTCTGCCTTTTTACCAAGTTCCCAGTGTGTATCTGTTAATCAGAAGGAGAATTACTCGAGGACAAACCCGGTTCTCCTTTATGGATTGTAGAATCAAATCCTTTTCTTCCTATTCTTTTTCCAAAACTTCCAAAAGGCAGGCACTGGTTTCTTAGCCAGCCGCTTCCCAGATAAAGGGGATCTCTCTTCCCTCCTCTTGCTTGAAAGAAAAGCACAAGGCTGAACATGTTTATCAAGAGGAAAAGTGGCTTCTCAGTGTGCAGACTGTCAAACTCTGGCCTCTGTCCCGGGGCTCACTTTGTTATGGCAGGTGAAGCTCACCTTTGCCCCACCCAGTGTTTCCACAAAAAGGCACGGTTCCAAGTATTTATATGAACAAGTGTTACTTTAGGACTCAGAGGGTTGGGGGTGGAGGATGTTTGCATAGTCTAAGCCTTGGGCGGGGGTGTAGGAAACAGCAAGTACAGAGGCCATAGAAAAAGCTGAGACTCAGTTTGACGTAGTCTGCCGGCTTGCTCTTCTACCCAGTGACTCAAAAGTACTAAAAGTCAGCACAATCAGAACTGAAGTTGGTAGCGACGCCCATTTGCCCGTCCTTGCTGAAGTCAAAGGTAGCACTGTGAGGTGGTTTAATCTGTTTGAGGCTGCTCCTTAAGTGAAAATTTGTTTCATTCTTCTGTCCCCCCACCCCATATTGAAAGATAACAAAACTGAAATGGAAAAGGTAACCGACAAGAATGTGCCTTAGCTGTTTCCGCCCTGGTTTCTGCTGATTCAAGACTACTGTGGCCTAATTGATTTGATTCTTTTCTAGCTAGCTAGGCAATACAATACGGGAGCAGAAATCACACAAGCTACTTGGCTGTGTGTATTCTGAGGTGCCAGGAAAGCTTTCCATTGCTCTGGGCTGACTTCCTTTCACACTTATGTCTGTCTTCTCTTTTGGACAGATCTATTCCAGAGGGGAGCTTCACCACTTCATTGACGGCTTTAATGAGGAGAAAAGCAACTGGATGCGCTACGTGAATCCAGCACACTCTGCCCGGGAGCAAAACCTGGCTGCGTGTCAGAACGGGATGAACATCTACTTCTACACCATTAAGCCCATCCCTGCCAACCAGGAACTTCTTGTGTGGTATTGTCGGGACTTTGCAGAAAGGCTTCACTACCCTTATCCTGGAGAGCTCACAATGCTTAATCTCAGTAAGTGGATTACAGAACAAAAAATTTTTTAAATGCCAGTAATGTCAGTTCTGCCCCTATGAGCTAATAACATGTTGGTTAATTATATGGCTTCATCATCTGTTGCACTAAGTAGGTGGCTTAAACTAGGGACTAGGAAGAGGAAAAAATGTTTTAGTCCTTCTTCCCTGTTATGAAACTGGACCATTAAAATAAGAGAGAAAACTGCTTTGAATGTTGAATTCAGAAAGTTAACAGAAAAAAATTACATATCCAATTCTAATTTATCCCCAAAAAAGGGAGCAGTAGAGATTGGTCCAGACATGGTGAAATGCAGACTATTCCTCTCACTTGTGGGTGCTTAAAATGTGTGTTGAACCAAGGATTTAGCTCAGTGGTGGTGCTGCCTGCCTCACAAGCACAAGGTCCTGAGTTCAGTTCCCGGTACCAAAAAAAGACAAAAACAAAACACTAAAATGTGTGTTGAAATACTGTAGTGATGTACATTTGACTATAAAGTCATGGTCTGATGTGGAATATTCTAAGATTGTCTCTAGAGAAACTCTGTCATGGTTTTTCAAATATTCTAAATGAATAACCCTGAAGATTTCATATCTTAGCTTCCTTCCTTATGGTAAAACTAATTCATCTGACCTCCTAATCAGTATTACAGTAACCACCTATCACTTTATCTTGACAAATTCTCAGTTCCTTAGGTTTATAAGCTTTTACTTTTTTATTTGGTTAAAATTGCTGTCGTGACCTCTCCCTGCAAAGAGCTCCCCTCATTTTAATCATTCTCAATGATCTCTATGAGCAATTTAAGAATTAATGTAAAATTCTCACCTCAGTCGTAGCTGTGATTATGTGTGTTCTTGGTTAGACGGCTTGATTTTACACCAGCTTTTAAAATAATTAGTTTTGGGTCAAAAGCTAAAACTAACTTCAGAAAGGTTTATAACTTTTCATCTTGATAGACTTTCAGACTTAAACAATCTTCAAGAAAAGTATAAAGAATTCCCAGTTATCCTTTACCCAGGCCCATCAGTATTTCATATGCTATCTCCCTTGCTTTATCTGAAGGCTAAATTCTTTTAGTTACCACCATCACCACTGAGACATTTGGGATAAATCCTAATTTTTTTTAACATAAGTTGGAATTTTGACCTCAACTTTAGAACCAGCTAACAAACCACTTAATTTATCCAGCTATACGTGATCTGGCCATCTAGCTATTGGGTGTTCATTTTGTGCTCATTAGTTTGCTCCATCTCCCTTAGGATCTTAAGTCTGTCTTTACAGTATTCTGAAAATCTGAAGCTACAAGGATCAGGACTTCCCTGAGAGAGTCACATAAGATGTCCCATGCCCCATGACACACCCAGAGTGTACTGTTGTACTTCAGGGAAAGATCTTTTGGTATATGGGAGCAAACCAGCTTTCTACCCAAGCACGATAAGGCACACAATACAGTATTGCCTGTCCTGACCAAAGGGGCAGGGCAGTTCTCCTTTGTCTATCTCCCAGGCACTCCCTGAGTCTCTGGCACATCTCTAGGCCTGAGCACCCCAGGAGCTGAGCTGCTGTTTCGGTATCTGTATGTGCCCAGCCGATCGCTAAGGGCCTGGTGGTAAAAGACACACAGGCAGTCAAGTTTCTGTGGGACACACATCTTATCCAGGCATCATAGAAGAGCATGCTGCTCTCCTCTGACACCCTCAGCCTAGCTAGACACTTCCTCATGAAGGTCTCCTTACATACCTTGAATTTAATCCTTTACGCATCCAGAATGTCGTTTGTTTGTTTGTTTTGTTTTTAAAAACAGTTAAGTCCACTGGGTGACCCCCCTAACACCGGTGACTTCCCAACAACCATGAAGAAACTTCTGCATACTTCCCTTCTCGTTCATTGTTCCAGTCAAAGAAGGTTTTAAAGGCCTGGCATTTTTATTTCCCAATGAAAGGCTTTGCGTTATTATTTTAAGATTCAAGTGTTTATTCTTTGTCTTCAGAAGCAACTTTCATATGTAGTGTAAAATGACACCTTTTGTTCCTTCAAATAGCACTTCTTTTTATTTATGCGGAATTTTTCTAAATGGTATCTTCGCTTTTTCAGGCACCTCTTCATTATCCAGTGTTCATGGTAAAAATGGAGAGTTAACAATAACCAACCAGTACATTACAACAGGAGTCCTGCTGCCAGTTGTGAAACCAGTTGTCTTAGGTGTGGCAACTGATGATTGAGACTCTGATCAGGAAAATTTCCACTATTTCATCAGGCCTAATAGGCAGATTGTGCCTCCAAATAAGTCGTGTTGGCTGTCCGTGTTTACAGCATAATACAGACTTGTGCCCAAATCTCTGTGGAAGCTTCCATAACACAGGTGTTTGAAGAGAAGGGATGGGAAGCAAACTGATGTCAGGAAAAGTGGCCAGAAATCACACAAATGGCAATTTTTTAAAGAAAGAAAAAGGAATAAAAGAACTATTTAAGCTCCTACCCACCTCCAAGGTTTTTTTTTTTTTTTTTATTCTATCTAACCCATCTAGAAAACAGTTGACCAAATTATAAACACAAATGGCAATTTTTTAAAGAAAGAAAAAGGAATAAAAGAACTATTTAAGCTCCTACCCACCTCCAAGGTTTTTTTTTTTTTTTTATCTATCTAACCCATCTAGAAAACAGTTGACCAAATTATAGACTTCTCAGTGTTAATCTGCTTTCTCAGTTTCAGTTGAAAACAGACTTTGTTTTGCCTACTGCAGAACTTCTAGGTTCTTTCTTTTAGTCTTGGGGGTTCTTATTATAGATCGAAAATGTGAGTCGGCATAATTAAGCCATTCAGAGCCTTCAGAAGCAGTTCACTCTTGAAATGACTCCATCCACCTACAGCCATTTAAGATTTAAGAACAAAAACAGATCTTGATTTTCTTTTTCATGTTAACTCAAGCTGCTGCTGAGTGGGAGAGTCAGAAATGACACTAGCTTCCCTGATTACTCAGCTGCTAACAGGCCAGTTTTTTAAAAAATCATGTTCATATAAACTCAATTTCTACCTGTAGAACACTTTGGAGAGGCTAACATTTGTTCTGGATATTCTTTTAAAATAAGACTATAACTTTTTCTGAAGCTATCATAGGTAGCAAACATTCATTGTGGGTTTACTATTGACCAGGACTATTGCATAAAAAATAAAATTCTGACTTTGCTGGCCTAATTATTAGCTTTCTATCAGTTCCATAACTGAATAATATTAAGACACTTAAAAACACAAGGCTAAATGTGGTAATAGTCCTGTGAATAGGCTTAAACATGTACTTATTGCTTTTGTTTGTACAGAACTATTGAGCACAATGAAAAAATTATGAGATTTAGATGTAATTTACCACATAAAAATGACACGAAATTATAAGGTGGTTTCTGTGTTTCTAGGTGGTATCTTTTTTTTTCCTCCTGAGGATGCTTCTAAATCACTCTTTCCTCTCTATGAAATTCTTCCCTGTGGCTCTAAAATGCTTTGCCTTTCAGTTTTTCAGGCTAGTTGTCTTTCCCTTCCTTTACCATTTCAGCTTTAAAAAACAAAAGTGACAATTTGAACTTCCTGCCTGCTGGGCCTCACTGAAAGACTGATATTGGTGTGATAAAGGGATATTTATTTTGGTTTAGTGGCTTAAGAAATCTCTCTCCCTCAACAAGCTTTCCATCACTGCCCTCTGATCGGCATCTTCCCTGATAGTGTTGTTCCAGTGTTTATTCTGGGGCTTGTGGCTCACCCATGAGTAACTGATAACAGCCAGCAGGAGATAACATTCTTGAGGGGCTCTCAAACTGGAATTGAATTCCTCAAGTCTGTCAGCCTGGAGAATGAATTTGAAGTTTATTGTAGAGTTCCATACAGTTCATCTGTCTGGTAGCAAACCTGCAGTTCTTTCTGTTAAACCAAGCCTGGGATATTCTATAAGAAGCTAGAGGATAATTGGACAGAGGTTTCCATGTACTCACTTGAACCTTTCACATCCTCTGGTGCCCGGGCCACTCAAAGGCATCTCCTTACCCAAACAGCCAGTGCTATCAGCATCCTCCTACAAAAGGAAGGTGTGCTGGCTGGAGTGACCACCCTCTGGGAACCAAAGCTCAAACTGAGCATCAGATGTTTTACTTTTGGTGGCTACGGAGGCTGAGTGGGGAAGATTTCAGTTTTCCCCACTGTGACTGCTTCATTTGCTCTGTGATAGGCCTGACAGTGACGTGGATAGTTTGGACCTATCCTCGTTGCTCTTGTTCCTAAACAGTCTGTTTACCAAGTAAGATATGCCATCTTTAGGAGTAAATGCTTTCCTCTTAGCTGCCCATGTTTTCTTTAGTGCTGTAAGTAATTGAACTGGCTCAGGAAGTACCTGTTGTGGTTTGGCAGAAGTGACTGTCAGGCCTTGTGATTCCAGAGGACAGCGCTGCTGGGAGCCTGGTCAGACGAGAGCCTTGGTGAAACTTTTGTGCTGTCAGCCAATCCAGCAGAAGGGTGTCATCCATGTTCATAATCTGCTGAGCATAGGTGGTTTGAACCGGGCTTTATCAAATCCATATTAAACGAGAATCTAGTTGAAAAATTGATGACTTTATTACTTGAAATGAGTCTTAATCTTTCACATCTAGTTTGCAGGGTGTGCTGATTTCCTTTAGGTAAACTGTGAACATCAGAATGACTTATTAACCTGTGATAACCCCCCACCCTAGTATTTTTCCATCCTATTTTAATGAATGCTATCTTGTTCTACCTTGAACAGCACTTTTCTTATACTAATGGAAACAAGATCATCCAGCTGGTGCTGTTTGCTCTGTCTACACTGCCACTCTCTCCCTTTCACTGAGGAGGAAATGGAGCAGCTCTTCTGAGTGGGCTGCCCAGAGCCCTCTCTCTATAGGGAGAAGAGGGGTTAGGAGCCAGTTTGTGTTGCCAGGTGCTGCTCAGATTTTCTCAGAGACAGCATCTTTGGTGATTCCACTTCAGTTCTCTGTAGCCCTCTGAGTGATCACCCTTTCTTATTTCAGCTCAAACACAGAACAGCAACCCAAAGCAACCGAGTGCCGAGAAAACTGAACTTTGCCCAAAGAGCGTCCCAAAGAGAGAGTACAGTGTGAGAGAAATCCTGAAATTGGACTCCAACCCCTCCAAAGGGAAGGACTTCTACTGTTCTAACATTTCACCCCTTGCTTCAGAAAAGGACATGGATGACCTCAGGAAGAGTGGGAGCCCCGACACGCCCTTTTATCCTCGAGTTGTGTACCCCATCCGGGCCCCACTGCCAGAAGACTTTTTGAAAGCCTATGGGATGGAGAGACCGACTTACATCACTCACTCCCCCATTCCGTCCTCCACAACCCCAAGTCCCTCAGCGAGAAGCAGCCCTGACCCAAGCCTGAAAAGCTCAAGCCCTCACTGCAGCCCAGGGGACACCGTGTCTCCACTGGCCCCGGGCTCTCAAGAACGCCGGGACTCCTACGCTTACTTGAACGCACCCTATGGCACTGAGGGTCTGGGCTCTTACTCCGGATACCCACCCCCACCCCACCTCCCACCAGCTTTCATCCCCTCCTACAACGCTCACTATCCCAAGTTCCTGTTACCCCCCTATGGCATGAATTGCAATGGCTTGAGTGCTATGAGCAACGTCAGTGGCATCAACAACTTCGGCCTGTTCCCTAGGTTGTACCCCGTCTACAGTAACCTCCTGGGCGGGGGCAGCCTGCCTCACCCTGTGCTCAGCCCAGCTTCATTCCCAAGCTCCCTGCCCTCGGATGGAGCCCGGAGGTTGCTTCCTCCTGAGCACCCCAGAGACGTATTTGTCCCAGCACTCGGCAGTGCCTTTTCCCCTACCGGGGCAGCTGCCAGCATGAAGGACAAGACGTGTAGCCCCACGAGCGGTTCTCCGACGGCGGGAACAGCTGCCACGGCAGAACACGTGGTACAACCCAATGCTACCTCAGCAGTGATGGCTACCCCCAGCAGCGACGAAGCCATGAATCTCATTAAAAACAAAAGAAACATGACTGGCTACAAGACACTTCCCTACCCGCTGAAAAAGCAGAATGGCAAGATTAAGTATGAGTGCAATGTGTGTGCCAAGACATTCGGCCAGCTCTCGAATCTGAAGGTAGGTAGGCCTCTTCCGGAGCAGCCCGGTCATCTGCTTGTGTCCGTGCCCATGCGTGCCCATTGTGTTTGTGCTTAGCTCCCTTCCCACAGATTACGGGTGCGTTTACAGCAGTAAGAGACCTGGCTGGGCTCCATTGATGTGGGTGCTACTTGGCTTTTGCCACTGCTAAAGCTCGGTAGCTTTGGACAAGTTACTTCCCCTCGCCAGAGTTCTTCTTGAATAATAAAAATGTGGGGTTTGGGCTTAGATGGTCGATGTAAAGTTCCTCCTAGCCAGCAGTTTTTGTTCTTTTAGTTCAAGCAAAAGGGCATTCTGAAAACACTAGAGCTTTGTTCTCTTTAAAAAACTTTGTCTTGATGCTTTTCTTAACACTTTTGTATGAGAAACCCTGGAGGCTTTGAGCAGAAATGCAAGTTCTCAGAGGCAGCTTGCAAGCAGAGCTAACACATGTGGCTTCTTCCTAGGTCCACCTGAGAGTACACAGTGGAGAACGGCCTTTCAAATGTCAGACTTGCAACAAGGGCTTTACGCAGCTTGCCCACCTGCAGAAACACTACCTGGTACACACAGGAGAGAAGCCACATGAGTGCCAGGTGGGCAGTACTTCCTGAGTAGAACTTGTGGTCTTTGTAGAAAATGTCTCATGTCTTCTTATGGCATACTGTCCTGGTTTAAGCCAGCATAGCCATCTTCTTTGGATGTGGGCCTTTGGCACTGTGGGCCTGCCTACTACCTGGTACCCACTGACAGGCTGCAATGACAACACGGCCAGCTTTCAGTGGGTGGGAAAATGGCATTGGACATAAACCACACCTCCTATGCAGTGTGCCCACATCTCTGTTTGCTTAACAGCACCCCATGGGTTACTGGGCGTGGGCCTATTGCTTGCCCCTCCCATGACAACTCTTAATCTTCTGGTGTTCCCTGTCTCCCTTCTCCACCCCACATCCCAGGTCTGCCACAAGCGATTTAGCAGCACCAGCAATCTCAAGACCCACCTTCGACTCCACTCTGGAGAGAAACCTTACCAGTGCAAGGTGTGCCCTGCCAAGTTCACCCAGTTTGTGCATTTGAAGCTGCACAAGCGACTACACACCCGGGAGCGGCCCCACAAGTGTGCCCAGTGCCATAAGAGCTACATCCATCTCTGCAGCCTCAAGGTCCACTTGAAGGGGAACTGCCCTGTGGCCCCCAGCAGTGGGCTGCCCTTGGAGGACCTGACTCGAATCAATGAAGAAATCGAGAAGTTTGACATTAGTGACAATGCCGACCGGCTTGAGGACGTGGAGGACAGCATTGATGTGATCTCAGTGGTAGAGAAAGAAATTCTGGCCATGATCAGAAAAGAGAAAGAAGAAAGTGGCCTCAAAGTATCTTTACAAAGAAACATGGGGAATGGACTCCTCTCCTCAGGGTGCGGCCTTTATGAGTCATCAGACCTGCCCCTCATGAAGTTGCCTCACAGCAACCCACTACCTCTGGTACCTGTCAAGGTCAAGCAAGAGACAGTTGAACCAATGATGGATCCTTAAGAGTTTCAGAAAACAAGTGTTTTGCTTTGTTTAAGTTATGACTTGGCAAGTCAGGGTGCCTGTTGCAAATTGCTTGTACATAGCTCCAGATCTGCGAAGCTCTGCCAGTGGCAAGTGTTTTCCCTCACTTCTCTGGAATTGAAGAAGGACTCCAAAGTTACTAAAATCTCAGGGTATAAAAGAGACAAAAACTCACTCTCTTGATATACATATATATATACATATATACATATTATATATACTTATTTACACCCATGTCCATATATTTGAACCTGTATTTTGAATATTTGTGTGGATTTTTGCATAGCCTTCCCATTACTAAGACTATTGACTAACCATAATTATTTTTTCAATGATAATCCTTCATAATTTATTATACAATTTATCATTCAAAAAGCAATAATTAAGAAAGTTTACAGT